CCGCTCCTCCTCTCCCTCCCACCTCCGAAAGAGTCGCAAAGGCCCTGCTGAGGAGTTTAAATAGCACATTAGTAACAGCTGCCATAATCAGCAGTAAGGCTGTGAGTGCAAACACCTGAAAGCCATTACGCTGCAGAAAAACCTACCCAAGTAAATAAAACCATCATAAAAATATATTCAGCCTCAATAAAGCACTTTAATAATAATGGTGATGGTGATCGCAGCACCACTGCTTTTCAAACAGCTCTTTCACTAGCGTTACCTGGATAACTCACCTGGCCAAATGTTTTAAGAGATAACTATAATTAGTTCTGATACAAATTTCTTGGTCACACACAAAGTTATAGGAAAGAATTTAATATCTGGGGGGTGCATGCCCTTCGTCCCTCCTGGAACCTACAGCCCTGGTCACGTGTGTAGAAAGAGGAGAAGAGTTTTCCTGTCTTGGGGGGGCGGGGGTCCCGTCCTTTGGAATCACTGCCTTCCTTCCTGTCCGATGGCGGGACACCTGCCAGGCCCCTGCCTCCGCTTTCTTACCCTTCATCCTGTCTTTCCTCTCCTTTTTCTTTCACCCCCCACAGACAAACGCCGGTGATGGGGGCAGCAGCGCGAGGCCGCAGAGCCAGGCGGTGCTTCGTGAGGCGGCTGAGAGGCTGCGCCTCTGGACTGTTCCAGAAAACGCCGCCCTCGTCAGTGACATGAAATCTAAAGTTATTCATTATGCTGAAAGGTGGGGGTGGGGAGGGATGGGGGCCTTAATAAATACTGTAGCACGCCATTGGAAAGTCTGGATGCAATTAAGCTTGAAAGGGGTGGCTGAGCGTCAGGGCTGCTAACCAGCGACGGGGGTCTGCAGGCTCAGTCCAATCGAGAGTGTCCTGCAACCCGAAAGATGCCGGTCCCTCACGCGCTTCACCAACACCAGCCCCCGCAGCGCAAAGTACCCCCACTCTTCATAAAGAAACTCAAGGCCAAGACGCCACTTTGCCCCTGATCCCTTAGTCATTAATGCGGCATGATGAGCTGCACTCGTGTTGTTAGCATGTTAGCATGGCGCTAGGTGGTAAGTAACATTCGTAAGGGATCCAGTAGTTCGAGTTAGTTTAGTAACCAAGGCTACGCTTAACTAACTGAACTTACCTACAGTTTACGGCCTCTCTTACTCTGCTCTAATGAACTTATTGCTTGCTGTACAATCTCCCGCATCTGTAAACAAAAGCACCTGGAATAAACAGAGATGTGAAGTGATGTGAGATGTGATGGTTCACTTCAGCTCACTGATGACTTCAGGACGTGTCCCGACGCCTCTGGTGTGTCCAGAGACACGCTTTGCTCACTTTCTGCGTCACAAACTGCACGCTGGCTGTTTTTTTTGTTATGTATTATGTAACGGAGGGTTACTTATGCCAAGACATGAGATGGTCATTTATACAGCATCAAAGCAACAGCTCTGGCCTGCATCGATTTGTGTCGTGATGTAGATATCGCACAAACTTTGTTCTCTTTTGCAGACAGGATGTTAAATCTAGTTACAAGGTAAATACGTGTCTTTAAACATGTTAGAAAATTCAAGGTTAGTCTTTGGCAAGCACTGTCACGTAGGACAGTGTAGGCTTTGAGAAATATTTCTCACCTAGTCCTGAGTTGGGTGCCATTGGACCCATCCGCTGTCCATCCAGACGTGGTTCCCACAATTGGTGACTAGGCTTATTGGTGTTAAACAACCAGCTGTTGGGAAAACAAGATGTGGACCAGCAGCCTATCAGCAGCTCTTGATGGGATTAAAAAATACATTTTTGATAAATTTGATGATAATGGTAAATTTAATGGAGACAGAGAAACGGTCTAGATAGGCTGTCGGAGGCTGTGTGTCAAATGGACTTGAAGGACGTCCTGGGTTGGGAGGAGGAACAGACCCCCAGTGGCTTACGGGGACAGATCGAAAGACACAGCCTCTGTTGGGGCCCCAGAATCTGCTGGGGACTGGACCAGCTTCCACCTGAACCACTGGCAGATGTCCACAGCTGGTCTGATGCTGACCCGGCTCTGTTGGGCTTCTCGGTGTGGATGGAGGAGGCTGGGGCCACATCAAGAGGCGTTCGCGGTCCGACAGCACCGGCCAAAATAGCCCAGTAAACATTTCTTGGGAAAGCAAATGATTTGGAGGCCGGTTAGGGGGCCCTGGTTATAATTATTGCTTTGTTATATGGGTCATGCAGGAACCTTTGGTCACCCCTTCAGCTCTGTGTGAGTCGTCCACCACGTGTTGAGACACAGGAGTGAATCGTTTCTCTTGCTAGCTTTGAACAGAAGCTCCCCCTTGTCCACAGGAGGCTTGATGTGGGCCCTGTGCGTACCACCCTCTGGCTGGCCAGAGGTTCGGGGGGGGGAGGGGGGGACAGGAAATGGTCCACTGAAAATCCTGCCTGGGAAAGCAAAACAGCTGGATTCAAATTGCAGTGGAGTGCAGATCTTGGTCTAGGAAGGTGACGATGTGTGCAGGTTGACTGGCTATATGTCTCCAGCTCCCCAGCCTAACAGGTCAACTGGCCCTCGTTGGGTGGATGAGGTCCCAAGGAAGATAATTCCCTGGACAGACTAGGGGCTTTCGAGGTGATGCACCAGCGGATTGCAGAAAGCACTCAAGCTCTTGGGGAATGTGAATAGCTGAAGCTGCCATGACCCGGCTGGGCCCCCCAGGACAGATTAGCAGGCTGTAGCTCCATTCGGGCCTCACTGAGATTCCATTTGAGTGCCAAAGAGAGCTTAGGACAGCGACTTGGCTGGGCAGTGATCTCATGGCAGTGTGCCCGCCAAACAAAGGCAGAGACTTGTGGCCTGTTTGGCTAAGGAGCCCAAGCAGTAGGAACAGGAAGGGGCATGAAAGAGATGGGGCATGTGGCATGAACGGGATGCGGCATGAGGCAGGAACGGGATGGGCATGAGGCAGGAACGGGATGGGGCATGAAGGAGGAACGGGATGGGGCGTGAGGCAGGAACGGGATGCGGCGTGAGGCAGGAACGGGATGGGGTATGAAGGAGGAACGGGATGGGGCATGAAGGAGGAACGGGATGAGGCATGAGGCAGGAACGGGATGGGCATGAGGCAGGAACGGGATGGGGCATGAGGCAAGAACGGGATGGGGCATGAAGGAGGAACGGGATGGGGCATGAGGGAGGAACGGGATGGGGCGTGAGGCAGGAACGGGATGCGGCGTGAGGCAGGAACGGGATGGGGCGTGAGGCATGAACGGGATGGGGCGTGAGGCATGAACGGGATGGGGCATGA